GGGAAAGAGAATAGCAAAAAAGTGGGACAAAGATTACTTCTCATTTAAATAACTCAAAATAATCTTACTGCTTTAATTCCCAAGGATTCCAGCTTCTCCTCCAGGGCTTGCTCCAAAACAATTCGCACTTCTTTAGTCAAAGAAGGATCAGTCTTCAAAGCATTTATCAAATAGTGGTTACTTCTACCTGTTTTATGATCACCTCTCTCAATTTCTGAAATAAGAATGGAAAAATGTATTTATGAGACATTTGAAAAATTCACAGTACGTGAGACAATTAAAAACTGCACTGAAGCATGCATTTTTCAGAAACACCACAGGCAAACGTGTGCACTTTTTTGTCTAAATGGAGTTGTATTCTTTTTAAAATCTCGAGTTAGCTTACAAAAGTCAGCTCACTTGGAAGCCCTACCTCAGCACCTTGTACTTACCATCACAAGTGTTTTTTATTTTTCTTGTTACAGAATTATGGTAAAGATATATGCCTGATTATTTAGCAACAAAGGTCTTTACTTTTAGAGCTGTACTCAGAAATTCGTGATAAAGAAAAACTATCTTCTGATAGTTCTCCAAAAGTAGTATTTAAAATCAAAGCTGAACTCTAGCAGGAATTAGAACAGGAATACGATAAACTTGTTCTTAAGAAAAGCTTCAGACAAGGTACGGTTCTCCGATAAAAACACCTACTGAGATCAAATATTTGGAAAGTTGTAACACTTTCAGAAGTCTTGGCATAAACAAAACCCTAGTCTGAGGCAGACCGTTTCCCAGAAAACACATGACGGATAATGTTTATCTACAAAAGTCTTTCAAGGACAAAGTCCAGTGTCACATTTTCTTCTATGCGGGTCTATGACATCACACATACTTAAAAGCAGACAAAGGAGTTTCTATCTCCTTCCCTTGCTGTAAGAGTCAGCAGTGACAGGAGCTCTTATGCAAGAAATAAAGAATCATCCAGACAGAGTCTTCCATCTAAATTAAAGGCTGACATTTAGGTTAGGCCGAAGTATTATAGGGTCACGCAGGGGAGTAAAGAAGCAAAACACCCATTTGGAACCTGCCTATGAAGTGCCTTTGGCAAGACAAAGTTTTACTGAATGCTGCTTAGACCAAGTGAACCAATGGTCAGTGGGACCACAGTAGCTGCTTCTGTCTGGCAGTGGTCAGCAAAGCTGGTAAAGTACACATAGAGGATATACAATATCCCAGGAAAGCATGAAATAAAAGAAAAGACCAAATATTACCCTGAAAGAAAAGGTAAATATTGGGCAGGAGTTTGTCTCTTTCCAGCATACCTTACAGCACAGCAGACTGACTTGCCAGCCCACAGACACAAAAAAGCCTCAAGATGCACAAATGATATTCAGATTGTTTGGAGGAAGTGGCTTCCGATGGATCCTATAAAGAACTACAAGTAATGGACACTGAAAAAGAGTCCAGCTACCATACTGAGAGATCTGTGTTGAAGAGGACAGAATCTGGCTGAAATCTTATATGCCTTTGGGAACTGTGTGGACAACTCAGTTCCTGGCAGTGATGGAATTAAATGTGATGTGGCTGGAGAGCTGATTCCTAGAAGAGACAAACTACTGGTCAGTGAGGAAACACAGGGCTATCACACTGTCCCCAGTCAGGAAAAGGTGCATCATGCAGTATGAAATCCTCCTAGAAAGCCAGACATGAGACATTTTAAAGCGGAAGGCTCCAAGGAGCCTTCTGAAAATTCTGTCCCTTTCAGATGATAATCCTTTCAATAAAATAGATCCATCTAAAATAATTTTAAAATTCGTAATTACTACATACTAAAATGGGTAACAAGACTATCCAGCCTTATCCTAATTAATGACAATATTAATTCTTGCTAATTAACTCAAGTCAAATCCTTTTTGCCGGAGCCAACTACTTAAGAAACTGTTTTCTTATTTCATTTTGCTTTTTAAAAAAAATACTAGATTACTACCTAAATACTAGATTTAACAATTTTGGAGACAAGAGACCTTAAGTCTGGTCCACTGTCTCAGCTCCTACATAATCCAATGAAATACTGTGCCAAGTCAGGAATTTTCTCTCTCCCCCGTACACATGGCTGTCACCGAAAACAAAACTATCTTGGTCTGTCTTTTCAGACTGCATTCTTTCTTTCTCTCTTTCGCACTGCAGGCCATGCCTTTAGGCACAGCAGAAGAATCTTAGACAATCCATCAAGGGAGAATATGGCAAGCAAGAGAAGCAGCAGAAAGAACGGCAAAAATGCGAGCTCGTCTTTACTTCAGGTTGTTCAGAGTCACTGGATTTTCCCTGGGGAAACCTCTCACTTACACACAGACATATTCAAACATCAATTTTGTTTTCAAAACAGCATCATTCCTTCAACATTTAAACTCACTGACTGAAAGGTTCAAGACTGATTTTGATCTTTGCACACAGTACAGATTATTATGCTATTCAGCTATTTGGTGTTTCATCTAAAGTGCTGTTGGGCTTCTCAGGAGAACACCACCATGCAGGATGGACCAGTGCTTTCTCTTCCGCCACAGTAAATGTGGCCTTCTCCAAGTTTTCCTCAGATGAAGCAGATGCACAGCTGCCAACATCACATACGTAATTTCATTCAGAACTGCACAAGCCTGGCTGGAGCTGTAGGCCTAACTTAGATTAGCTGCAAAAGTATCTTTGAAGCATCTATGAAGTTAGGCAACTTCAACATCCACCACCAACTTCCAACTCTTTATCCTCTCACACAGAGTTTGAAAAAGAAGTGAGCATACACTGCAATAGCATCAACACCAAGAAATTTCCTAGCAGTGAGGTATTTCCCATCAAACAGTTTTGCTCTGCTTAGCTCAAGTGCCTTTAGACATATGGAATATGTCTGCTTTAAAGAGTGGGCCAGATTTTCATAAAAATATTTAATTTGCATAAGGAAATAATTCATATTTACAAGCACCAATAGCAAACAGGAGACTGGCACAAACAAGGAATGTCCCCCACCCAAACCACATAAGCAAACTCAAACACAATGAGAAATATTCTAGGTAGCAAATAATATTTACATTTTTATTTTTAAGAAACGCATGGCACTATGTGTTGAGCTGAATCAACCATTACCTTTTTCCTCTTCTGAAAGCTCCTCTATGGGCTCCAGCATATGCACCAAGGGTGCCTGCTCTAATATCGAGGAAGAACAGGAACACCAGACAAGCAGCACAGAAGAAGGTCAAGGTCCAGGGTGGGAAAATCAGGCAAAAAAACACACGGATGTCAATTCTCCTAACTGCTGACAACCTGCTTAACAATCACAAACCCAATGCAACATGACTGCCTCGGTGGAACATTTTGGTAGAGGAGACCCTAATACAATCGTCACTGCAGGAGCAATTCAGTTGCCCAAACATGGGTGTTTAGTGTCACCTCAGATATATCAGAGCTTTAAGTCACCGGCACAGGGCTGGCTGACACATCACCCAACTACAGAAAAACCTGTGCCCTCCTAGAATGGCACCCAGGGCACGTGGAATGTTTTGAGGTATCTACAATGACAAGGTCACCTAGGTCACTGTCGTTCATTTCTCATAAGAAGCATTTTAAATTTAAAATTTATTTTAAAACATTGTTTATGTGCGATTTGCTATTAGAAGTTGCAAAAGGCAAGTGAAATAGCAAAAAGAAAAAAAGAAAAAGGCAATTAAATCCTCAAAAATATATGGAAAACATATGCTAAGTCATAATTTCTGAGAATTATTATGTCCTTGCAAGACAGAGAAATTTTTTTATATATATATATATATAATAACGTCCAATAAAACAAATTAAAAAAAATCTTCAATCACTTCAATATAGTGAGATTCAGTATTATCATGTGCTTTAAAGAAAACTTGAAATGTTCTCTGATGAAAACAGCTTCGTAACCACATTGAAATTATCATTCTGTAGGCTGTCAGGTACAATTTGCCTTATACAAATGCAGCCAGAGTACAGTTTATTTATAACTTATAGACTTCAGATATATGACATGTATGACAATGCTTGTATGTCAGACTAATAAAAATGCAAGTTTTTATACTGTTAATATTCACCTTCCATAAATTAATTTATTTCCATGAAAACTAGAATTTTAGTTTCTTTTAAGGTTTATGATAAAAAAAGAAAAATGTGCCAACTCTACTTTTAGCATTCAACTACTGGCAGCATAGGAGAAAACAATTTATTGGCCAGTATTTTGGGCCAACATATGTTTACCTCAGTCTTCAGAAGAAACCTTTGTCACTATAAATGACTGTGACGCTGCATGGGCAGAAGAGAAGTGACGCTGCAGTAAAGATGCCCACTCTTCAGCACTTCTCGTACAATGGGGTACAAACATGGATGCACTGTGATGGGTAATCAGTTCCAAGTGCTCATTTTACCCTAAATGTCACTTACTGTCACATTTCCAATATTCCCCATGCGAAGGGGACTAAAAGCAGTGTTGCAAATGCTTGGGTATGGCTGCTGCTCTCTCCAGTCTTTCCATACTTGGGATTATATTCAGCCTCTCACTTACTTTTCTGAACCAGTTCCAAGACTTAAGATTTGCTCCCATATAACTTGCACTAAGTAAGAAATTCTAAAAAATGCTTCTTGCACCATCACAAGATGCTAACAAAATGCAAATGTCAATCTATTTTATGGAAACACTTAAAAGCAAAACTCTAAGAGACTGAGTGACAAATAGGCTTCTGTTTTTCCAGTCTCTAAGGCTGTAAAATTTAGCAGTGGCCAGAGCATTCCCGGGCACTGGAGTATGATCCTCCACACTACTGCACTCCTAAAACTGTTCCTGGCACACTTTTGCCCTGCACCAACTAACATTCTCCAAAGCCACGTTCAGGCACAGTTTGGAATCATTCCCAAACACCTGCATGAGCCCAATTTGGAGGACAGAGCCAGAAGCACAGATGAGAGATGTTCTGCAGGGATTTAATTTAGCTGCACAGACACTGAGGCCTCCAAGTTTCTTGGCTGGGCCTACTGGACGTTAAGCCAGTTGCTGTGTAATTGGATTTAATCTATACTTGTTTTACCTGTACTTTACTCAAATGCAATCTGCTTAAAGGAGCTGACTCATCTCTGCTCAAGTTCTTGTCAAGTAACTTAATTTAACAGGAAAAGCCCAGTCCTCGAAACTCAGATCTGAAAATAGTCTGCCGATCTGGCATAAAGGTACGGGCTTCTCTTTCTTAGTATGCTAGAAACAGAGGAAGATAAAATGAATAAAGGAGTAGTTGCAAGAGCAAACCCAACATACATTACTTGCTACATGTAATATTGTTCACTGCATGATGACAGAGATTGAATGCTAAACATTGGGGAATGCACCACCTGGAAACACCAACTTCTCCAGCGTAAGTGCTTATTCTAACAGATATTTATTAAACAACACATTGGAATCCGATGTAAGAAAAAGCAGCTTGGTTCACCACTCCTCTGGTTTATAGACAGGTGTGATCACCCTCCTAAGGAGCCCTCTCTTTATATTTACCAGAGATGTGCTTCTTCTGGCTGTCTGATCAGACCTCTCAGCTCTTACCTTACTGCACATCAGCGGCATCTAAAGATTAGCGAGCCTGTATTTAGGAATCATTTAAGTCTGACTTAAGCCATCACAGCCCAAGTGTTTACCCGAGACAGACTGCTATCTTCTCTTCTGGACTCACACCTAGAGATAAATGACTTGCTCTCAGTCACTTCTCTGATTTCATGCCAGATGAACACCTAAACTGTGTCCTTGCCCTGCTGGAACTGGATCCCAGGAGGCTGAAGCAAGGCAGGAGGCGTGCTGGGCTCTTGAGATGGCCTGCTGTGGACTTCCAGAGTAATGGTAGAACTGGAGATTACATCAGTCTTGCAGTTCAGACACAACCTGAATTATATTTTGTTCATTAACACAACTTGAACCCTGGCTCTCATCTCCACCCCTTTCTTGACTATGAAATAGAGATAAATTTCAACTTCACACTTAAACCTATGCATTCAGGCTCTGCTGGTGCTACCTTGCTTAACTGATCTTTCTTAACCATAACTCTCATTTGCCAGTCAATGCCTGCCTAAGCCTAATCCTAACCCTAACCCAAACTCAGTGATCCCTGTCAGACCTTGGCTCAGCAATAATGAGATGTCCCTCGGTAATACCAGCCCTTTGCAGACCCTGCCATAAATCACCTTCTGCTGCTAGTACGAACCACCTGAACTCCTATTTCATTTGGTCCTCTCCAGCACTCCCACACCTGACCCTAACCAAGCAGCACCATTGCTAAATCCTATACCTAGCCCAGTGGCAATTGCTAGACACATCCTCACTGTAGGGCACCAGCCAGCCTCAGTCCCAAGCCCAACCCTAGTTTTACCCTCAGAAGGACAGTTCCTGACAGCCTGAGGCTTGAACTTAGCTGAACGGCAGCTTCCAACACCACCTTAATGCAGGCTGGTCGTATTCATACCTCACTGCCCTGAATCCAGTCCTATTAATGCTAGCCATCGTTAAGGCCAGCATCCTTAAGATGACCTCCACAAGGATGTATCTGTCATCCCACATCTTCCAGAATATCTGTTCTGCCAGCTAATATATGTGAAGAGATAGATGAGCTGTATCAAAAGGAGAGGTTGCCTTAATCTCTTCAGTGGATAATTATACTACTGAAGAATTATGTGCCTGGCACACTTTGACAAATCATTAAATATCTGCTTTATATAATATCTGGAGACAATTTCTATGCAGATGGAATAGGAAAATATATTCAGCAATAATGAAGAATCCATGCTGTGTATATTTCAAGCCTACCATATATTATGTGCCTGTTCTTATCTAGTAGTTTATAAAAAACCCAAGTACTATTGGAAAAGCAGTCTTTTAGCTAATATTTAAATAAAAAATCCTGTCTATTTACTCTGAAATATGAAATCTTATAGTACTTATAGCCTGAACAGAACTGTTACAATTATCTATAGTGGAATATCACCTACAGCAAGCATTTTGCACTTGCAATAGGAAAAACAAAGGTAAACTGTAAGATTTGTTTGCTGTAAGTTACTGCACTTCTTAAAGATGTAAGGGTTGTAAGCTGTGGCTATATTCAATAACTGCTCCTTTAATTTATACTCAAGTTTCATATCCAAACAGCTGCCAGACTCAATCTGTGATACCTGTAATTTTGACTGTCTTCTTTTAATCAATGCACTTAATATATACTTCTCTTCTAACTAATCAATGGGAAGCCATATACTGCACATAAGCAGCCTAAATCTTAATTTTCAACCAATATTCTTAAAGATGATATATTTCTGACACTGACCTGAAGTCTTTAAGTTAGGTGCCTACTCATCTCAGACTACTTCTGCAGTCAACAAAGAGACTGCAGGCAACTTGAAAGAGCAATTCAGACCTTAGTTCAGCTGAACCAGACTCTTAAAGTGCCCCTTTTCTCTGTTAACTGGCTAGGACGACTAAATTTTCCTCAGATGCTTCAGTTATCTCCCTAATGACAGCTGGGCCTTAGTCCACACCATGTTTGAAGACTGAGTCACAGGTTTTAATAGGCAGTCTAATTATATTTTTGCTTTTTAACTACTGTCTTCAATTCCACCTAGTATTACTGACTTAAAAAAAAGATTAAATATTGAACATTTCAAGAGTAATACAGGAGCCAAAGTCTGATTTTAAAACATGATTTTAAAAAAATCCTAATTAATCCATTGCCTTTTTGTAAGACTGAAGTAATCTTTGAAAATAAGTTTTATCTGCCCAACACCCTACAGCTAGCTCAGAAATGGAGAGAAGAATGGTCAGGCAGGACAGCACTCACGGCAGACTATGAGACTATTCCCAAGAAATCAACTACTTTACACCTAAGATACCTCATTTGTAATTTAGATATTTTTTCACAGCACGGATTTAAGATGTGCAGAACTAATCTTAGGATGCAAAGCTTTCAAGCAACTTTGGAAAGAGTACTTAAGTTCACATAAGAGAGCCTTTTCCAGAATTAATTTTCTTTCAAACAGTGTAAAGGGAAAGAAAATGAATGTATTTCATATGCAAGCAATTGTTTGGTAGGAAAACTATAGTTTTGTGATTTCAGAGATGCTCTGTGCTAAATAAACTTGTGTACAGAAGCTTCCCATAATGGCACGAGATGCAGCCATGATGTCTTAATTCAGTAAGTCAGTCCCTTGAGGAGCCATGAAAATTTTGGGGAAGACACTATCATTTTTGCTAACCTTTACATCCAGAAATAGGTAGGGTAAGTTTAAAAAAAATCCAGAAGGGAAGAAAGGGGACAGACAGAGAGACCTGCAGAAATAAATAATCATCAGCAAAGGAATTTGAAGGAGACACCTTCTCTGAGGTTTCATAATAAACTGATAGTGAATCTTTTGTATATCAATGGCAGGAACAGCCTTTTCTATCTTGAGAAGTTTCATAAGGTGTCACAGACTTCATATTTGGAGCAGAAAGAAATCAGAGTACAGAAAATTCAATTCACAGAACCGTTTTCCTCCTCAGCTCAAATGAAAGTAAATGCACTGCAAAGGCAATGCTTGACAAGCTTGGTGTGTAAGCTTTTAGCAGCAACAATCTTCACAAAACTCGTTTCTTAAATTCAGGGCAATAGCTAAGCTACTTGCTCCAAGATGTCTTAGCTAGAACCAGCACTACATGGTGGTGCAATGAAGATGGTTTGAATGAAAAATAATTGGATTATCTAAAATACTATCATTAATAATCTATATTATCAATATTATAACCTATTTATATATATATAAGCTATATTATTACTCTTCTCCACACAACAACATTTCATTCATAGTTTCACTTAAAAAGCTTCTAGCAATGAACAGCCATCTTGCATAGGTTAGTAACAAATCTCTGTATTAATCGAACAATTCTACCATATAATGAATATATATTTTCCTTAGTTTAATCATTCTTGACACAACAAACATCTTGAAATCAACACTTCGTATTTAAGTTTTTCATTCCTCATCAAGTTATCTGAAGCTTCAGTTGTATATTACTGCTCCTCTCCATAGGCCTTTTCAGAATTTTTTGTATTTGTTGAAAAAGAAAAATTCTGTACATTTTTCTTAGACAAATCCCATTTCCTCTCCCCTTGACAAGTTTTAAAACTAAGATAAATATAAATTTAAAAATCATTATTTAATTATAGTTCAACAATTCAAATAATAAACTAGTTTTAAGATTTAAGCATTTTACTTGCACAAAGTTCATTCTTCCTATTACTTTTTTAGTAGAAATGAAAGTAAAGAACTAAATGATCACAGAATATTGGTATGGTAACAATACTCTCCATTACTTTGCATACTGAGAAAAAAGTGCAAACTATTTTTACAAAGCACCACACAGTAAAAATGGAATTTCATCACTTTCCCCCGCTACTAAACAATATCACACCACCACAGGTTAAAATGACTAAATTATCTACATGTAACTACAGATAAACTCCAAAAGAACTATCTAGATGGGATGAAAGTCTATTTTGATTATGTCTTCTACATTTTTCCTCCTTGACATTTGAAGTCACATGAAAAATACATTTCAAGACTTACAAACATCTCCACATTTTTCTCTATGCCAATTTCAGTATAGGCATATACTTATCCAGTATGTGCATACACCAGAAAATAGTAACATTTCCTAGGAGAAATACAATTTTAATTCCTCAGTTTGTTTCATTTACCTTGAAGTGCTCCAATACTATACGTGCGCTGGGAAATATTCCCAAATATTTTTTAAATTTATTCTTTTCAATAGTACTACTTTACAATTGCTTCATAGGAATTCTCAATGCTGACATACAGCAAAGCAATTAAAATGACATTCTTTCAATATAACTATTCATATAGCTATGATCTGACAAACAGCACATTTGAGAAGATGAAGTGCTAGATTTGCAAATACTGGATCTGGACCTATCAAAAAAACTTACCATGCATCACTGGTTGACTTGGTTTAGATTCTTCAAGATGCTCTACAGTAGTGTTCACTAAAATAGCACAGAAGTAAAACATAATGTAAGTGTACTATAGTAAGCAGTAACAGACATATACAGATTCATAAATATAGAAATATTTAATCATATTTATAAATCACGCAAATTTGGGCTTTAATGGGGAGGGGGAACCCAGCTAGTTTACAAAGTAAAAATTGGTCCTTTACAGGACAAAAGTAGATCTCTAGATACACTTAACATTTTTATACTTGTAGAACAAGAACAAGAAACTAGTAAATAGTCACTGCACTGTAACATGAACCTGCATTAGTCAGACCATATCTCTGGTCACATCAGTATGTAGTCTTAGTGTCCCAAAGACGAAGCTTTGGCCCAATGCTACTTAGTCAAGCCCAGCCTGACCAACACTTGTATCTCCCAAAGAGGATGTGCTGCATCCACACTTTGTATCATTTAGTGCAAACCCTACCCATGTAATATACAGAACATAGTCTTGGAGTCAATTATCACTTCAGTTGTACATTCTCATATCAGCTTGGGGGCCAGGAGTAAATTCAATCATGTGCCATGGTTTTCTACTTGCCTGTGTTTCAGTGTCACTGAGCATGACTAGATCCAGATGAGAAGCCACACAGCCACACTATTACTGTGCTCTCCTCAAACTAAGCTACTCCCTGCTGTTAGATTCAGCTCAAGCCAATTTCCTGCTAATAAATAAAGTTGGCTTCCAAACTGGGATTAGAATTTTAAAAATTCTGAAATTCTTTGAACATCCATATCTTAACTGATAAATTAATCAATTTTATCTACTCTCAGTATTTTGCCTTTTGTCAGTTCTGTAGTCTTAAGACAGTCAAGTATGAAAAGCAATTAAAAGTACACTACACACAGCAAAACCAAGATTTGTTTACGTAATACAAAATAGAGTTGCTGTATTTCACATCTCTTCATTACTCAAGCAATCAACTTTGTACATTAGAAGTCCTTACAGCTGCAAAACATGAACTTTGAAAATCACAGCACTCTGTGAAACACAAATAAATTGCCAATACTGATTTGATTTCAGTATTTAGTTAGTAAGGTCGTTATCTACATTTTTTAACAAACTGTAACATTTGTTTCAGCCAAGCTGCTGAAATCAGAAACAAAATTTGCTTTTTCTTACAGTTTGTACATACCATCATATTGCTTAATGCTTGCAACTGACCTTGTGGACAATTCTTTTATCTAAAAGAAAAAAAGAGAGATATCTGAATAGTTACAAATACAAATGATCAATCTCCAGAAATGCACATTTAGTACAAAATACCTATTTTCAGTAGGCTTCTGTAACAAAAATTATTATTTACAATTTGGGGAGAAAAATACTACTTTTGTGGAAGTCTATTCTTCTGCCTAATGTATACGTCTTTCATGCTTAATGAATGCTATAGACTTATTTGCTTGTTGTCTTATGTGAATTCATGCTTTGTACACCCTGTTATTACAAGCTACCAAGTGAAATGAGAGTGGGCTTACGGGCCACTTCAGCACTTAAAGAGTTTAATAGTTTCTGCATCAGCAATTCAGGTTTAATTTTGCAAGCCACTCCAGGAAAACACTTAATTACACATTGATTTTAAATGCATGAATAGTTCTCCTATCTGCTCTACACTTTCGTCTATTTGACACCCAAGACATGCACTGAACAAAACTGAGATCATAGAGGAAACAAGCTGGCTGTAATTCAATCTAAAGAAAATAGGAAACTGAATCCTGTATCATTAAAACAATGCTCTGCACTGCAGTTCCCAAAACAGAAGCTAAACCCAAACCATTCAGACACACAGTCAAGGTCAGCTGGAGCTGGCACAAGAGACCGGACCCTGGTTCTGTTTTATTTATCATTTTGGTTATAGTCAGTAGTGCCATAATTCATTGTCCATTCAATTTGCATGCTACAAAAGTGTCAGCCATTTCTCAAGCCTTTCCAGTTTCCAGGTATTGAGAATGTCGATCTTCACAGCTGTACTTCACAAACCTCAGATCCCTCTGAACCTATTTGACATCTGTAGTCATACTGATTTGTTTTAAAAGGTCACTTTACTGCAAGCAATTTGTCTAGGATTAAGTCCTCTATTGCTCCAGGTATCAAATTTATTAAGGTGTAGATGTACAAGCTATTATTTGTTTTTCCAATTCTTAAAGTATTTAAGTATAGGCTTGACACTAATCTCAAGAAAAATGTGTAAAATCAGATGGTGATTTGTAAAGAATGCATCATCAAATAGAGGAAAAGATTGTAAGGACTGCATAATCATGCCGTAGTCTAAATGCCAGACTATCCAGATCTTCACTCACCAATCACCTCAAAAGATCTATAGTTATGTTTAAACAAAAGTGTATTTTTAAGAAAAGACAACTCATTTCCAAACAAGTAATTTCATAGAATCATAGAATATCTCAAGTTGAAGGGATCGATAAGGATCACTGCGTCCAACTCCCTGCTCCTCACAGGACCACCTAAAACTAAACCATATGACTAAAAGCATCATCTCCTTGAGCTCTGACAGCCTTGGTGTCGTGACCACTTCCCTGGGGAGCCTGTTCCAGTGACCAACCACCCTCTTGGTGAAGAGTCTTTTCCTAATGTCCAACCTGAATTTCCTCTGATGCAGCTTCACTCCGTTTCCTCATATCCTGTCGCTGGTCACAAGAGGAGATCAGCACCACCTCCTCCACTGTCTCCCTTGAGGAAGTTGTAGCCTGTGATGAAGTTCCTCCTCAGCTGTCTCTTCTCCAAGCTGAACAAGCCAAGTGACCTCAGCTGTTCCTCCTAAGTCTTACCCTCAAGGCTTTTCACCATCTTGGTTGCCCTCCTCTGGACACACTCTTTAATAGTCTGACGTCCTCCTTGTACTGAGGTGCTCAAAACTCCACACAGCACTCGAGGTGGGGCCACGCCACTGCAGTGTAGACGGCAACACTCACCTCTCTCGACTGGCTAGCTATGCTGTGCTTCACGCACCCCACGACACAATTGGCCCTTTTGGCTGCCAGGGCACACTACTGACTCATAACTCAACTCACCAACCCCCCACATCTCTCTCAATGGGGCTCCTTTCCAGCCTCTCATCCCTCAATTTGCACCTATAACAAGGATTATGCCATCCCAGGTAGACAATCCAGCATGTGCTCTTTTTGAATTTCATACATTAATAATTTAATTATTCTCACAGTGGTAAATCAGATACTTTATTTTTAGTGTGAGAAGTCATGTAATTTCAAATTTCACACTAGATTTCATTATGATTATTTTGTGGCAGATTAGATCCTGTTCACTATGAGAATTTTTTTCATCTGTAGAGGTCTTTGGTGACTGCAACCTAGTAATCTTTTAACTTTTGCTAAACTTTGTGTTAAACTTATTTAAAACATTTGGTTTATTAATCCTTTCCTTCTAAATTGTGTTTAAATTCTTAGTTTACATTCCAGATCTATTCTTATTTATCAACATAATTTTCAAAGCGTAACCAAAATACTATAGCAACGCTACTAAAAATTTGGAATATTAACTATAGAACTAGAGATACATCAAAGACCAAATGCTAGTAAAATGTTTATCTCTGTCTAATGCTCTCTGAAACATAAGAGTCCTTCAGAAAACAGACCTGTTTCTTCTGAGTGATAATCAGATCATTCTGCTCCTGGAGCCTCTGCCCCAATTCTTCTATCCTCCTTTTGTAAAAGGTGCTATTTTTATTCAAGTCTTCTCTCACTGATGATTTAAGCTTCTCAATCTGTGACAGTAGCTAGAAAGCAAAGTAACTTCATATTAATACTCTATAAAATACTTTAATGCTATGAAGTCTAAACAAACAAGTGTCGTGCATAAATATTTTAACATTTTTTCCCAGCAAAAACATAATGTCTCCAGTGGTTTCATTGGGACTTGCCTATATTACAAACAGTTGTCGGGATCACTTTTATTTACACAAGTACGTAAATCTCGAAAGAAAGGAACATACAAACACACTGCTGAGGCTGCCTAAAAATAAGGTTGTAGAAAAAAACATATAGTGTATAAAAATGTTTTGGCTATAAATAGTGTCAAACAATGGTATTTTAAGGAAATGAGATATGAATTTGCATGATAAACCTAATACATTAGCTCTGAATGTAGAAGAAAGGGAACAGTATTTTAGGTGCACCATCTCAAAAGTAATACTTACATTACTCCTCCCTTATTCTATTCTTGCATTGTATGTGGGTGTATCATTAACTTTTTGGGGAATGTTCCATGGTTCCTCCTCACTGCTTTCTTGCCAGAGGAGGAGAAGCATTGGTCAGACCACTATGATCTGCTTAGTTCTTACATGGTCACGCAGATGAAAGGAAAATGGAAGAAAAAGAAGCAAGAGAAACAAAGCAGGAAAGAGATTAAAAAGAAATGCAGACATAAAAAAAATCTGAGGAATAAAGCTTTGTACAGTAAAATATATAAACTGATGCAAAATAAAATGCCACGGTGTTTTTTCCTGGAAAAGCTGAACGGATTCTGCATTAGAAAGCTGCAACAGAAAAAGCAGCAGAGAAGTGATAGAAAAAAGAAAAAAGATTGAGACATATGCTATAGGTCCATGGTAGCAGAAAGCACAAGGCAGATGAAAGCTACATGTTTTCAAGTTATAGCTCAACTATCCACCATAACCATGTAACGAAGAAAACACTGTATAATACAGTGCTCACAGAATTAGTTCTGAGTTCTGCAAACCAGAGACACAGTTTCAGGTGTCTGTCAGAAAAATTTCATTTCAACTTTGGCTGTAACTTTAAGATCCTAGCATGACAGAAATACAGAGATAATAAATACATCCAAGAGGACACACTCTTATAAAGTCTTGAGATCTAGACTCTCTAAAACAGCAGACGTATTATAGCATATCAAGAACTACTGAAAGGTAAGAAAATAAGAAAAAAAGTCTCCTTTTAGATTAAGTGGTTTGCTGTGTCACTTACCATGGACTTTTCTGTCTCATGGTCATGATGAAGGGCTTGTATTCTAGACGACCACTTACTCTCCTGCATGGAGGAAATCAACATTAATTCCTGTTAATAACACATTAACATTTATTTTGACATATGCAGCTTTATTTCCTGTTAATAACACATTAACATTTAGTTTGATATATGCAGCTTTAATTTTTCTAAATAAAGCATAAATACTGAAAAGATTATTATATGAAACTTGAGTAACCCCATGTTTAAGACCTAGAACAGTCATCAGCATGCTTTATACAGCCAAGCGTGGTTTTCTTACCAGTCACTCTAGAAACTACATATTTGCTCCTTGATTTGTATATATAGTGACTGTGAGCGAGAAATACACAAGTATTTTGATACATTTCTGTGTATTAACAATAAGAGTAGTAAAAGCAGGGTTCCTCTCCAAAAAAATGAGATTTCAAACACTCATCAACAGTGTATTTTGCATAATGACGGTAAAGATCAATATTAATGTATGAGTTTGAGTGAACCTAATTTTCTAAAAAATAAAAAACCCAAAGTGAAACTCATGAAGTTTTCCACATCTTAGACCAGCAGTAACCAAACTTCTGGATGATACCAGCAGTATACAAAGAACTTCACATCCCAAGAAACATGAAATACAAAATATGTGTCTCAAAGAGCAAAAAAAAAAGAAGAGTTAAAAGGTTTGTGGGTATTTCCAAAGGCCTCATAACTATTCTTTTTTCTTTAAATAGGAATAAACCAGACATGCAGGTGAGTCTCAGAGCAATGCACTGACCATGGCCACAGTGTCCCTCCCTAGCTCAGTCTTTCCTATAAGTGGAACTTTGGGTTGTCCAACAGATATGCACTGGCACCAGCATGTGTGCTGGTCAGATGTACCAAGACCTGGTACAGAGGTTGCACCTCACAAGCTCAAATCCTTCATATGCCTCAAAAGCCACAGGTTGATAGACTCTGTCAGAAAGTTTCTTAACGTTTGCTTTCTTCATCTTGGAAAATGGAATATTCCAGTTTTTCCATAAGTGGCCTCATAGATCAGCAGACATAAATTGCTTATTAGAGCCTTCTGGAATTGAACTGCAATGATACTTGGTAAAGGTAGATATATTTAATAATAAAGAATATCAGTTAAAAAATAACAGTTGCACTAAATGGTAGTATTTTTTTAAAAAACAGTTATTTTAGACATTGCAAAGGATGAGAATTTTACTTACGGATTTAAAACCCAACTCAGAGAGTACAAAATTGAAAAGAACACAAAGGCAATACATTAAGGTACAGTGTTACCTGTTTTTCAAGAAGTTTAACCACGTTGTGATAATCCTGAGGACTCTGAGGTTTCTCTTCTGTAAATTCTTCGCTGTCTTTCAGTGTCCCTAAATTGGATTTTTGTTGCATATTGGACTTCCGTAATTCTAACAGTTGCTAAAAAGTGTGTGGGGGGAAATTAAGACCTGATTGTGTAGACAGATTTTGTTTTATAAAACTGGCATTTAATACACAACTTATTTTAAACAGAGCTCCACCAAGATTGCATCAGATACTTCTCACATCATATATCATATATCATATATCATATATCATATATCATATATCATATATCATATCATACAGTAGAATATTGTTTTCTGACCCACCTATAGTGTTACAATTCTCTTTCCAGTCAAAACTCTGGAAAGCGTGTCCAAAGCATGTATGGAAAACACATGCAGTTTGGCTGCCAGGACTATAATGAAGAGGTTAGTCTCCTCCATGCCAGTCATAAGAATATTAATATAAGGTTACCTAACAGACAGCAATAATAACAGTATCTACTAATCTGTAAACAGGCACTCAGAAGTTGAGGAGTAAGAAAAAACTGACATAGCTGCTGAAGCCATAATTAATTCATCCAAAACAATGCTATTAAAAAAAAGATCTGAAATTATGTTAATAAAATACCAGTATACAAAGATACAATTATGGCTATCATTCAACCATTATTTTTAAAGTTTTGTAAGACCTCAAAGATAACTGCATCATATTTCAAATACGTTCACTACCATTTCCTGGAAGGGATTCATGCCTTTAAATGTCGGAAAATTTAAATCACTTACATTTTCTAGTGCTGAATTTCTTGAAGACAACTCCTTTAGCTCTTTCATAAACATTGCTTTAACTTTTTCTATTTCATCAGCCAACTTATCTTTTTCCTCCTCTTTCCATTTATGAAATGACTGTAGAATTTCCTCTTCTTTTGATTTTTGCTGTTCACATTCCTGAAATTATTTTTCAAGCATTATTTGTTATTTTCTCCAAATGCAATACTAATTCAAGCACCCAAACTGTGTGTGGGAAGCAGTCACTTTCAATGGGCAATAATGCAACATCAAAAAACATGAAAAACCATCAGTTTCTGAAGAATTCTGGGGTAGCAAACTATACATTTTGCTAGCCAAACAAGTACACTTTTGTTCCTGAACTGGAGAATAAAGTGAATGATTGATACCTATTCACTCTATGTAACTCGTGGATTCATGGACATCAGTATCTCAACCCTTCATCCCCACCAAGCTTTTGTCTCTTTTTCAGACTGACAACTCTCAGTTACTCCAAATACAGACTGATCATCCCTATAGCCCTTCTCCATCACTTTTGTAATTCTATCATATCCTTTTTGAGATGAAGGGACTAGACCTACACACAGTACTTAGCCTGTGGCTCGCACAGTCATTTTTCAGAATAATTTGTAATATTTGATTTCCTTTGCTGGCTGCTACTAACCACTGAGCTGACATTTCCCTGGAACTATGTACTACAACCTTAAGATCTTGCCCTTCAGTAATAACACTCAGCTCAGAAGCCATCATTTTGTAGATGAAGTCAGAATTATTTTTTCCCCATATACATTTACCCCACTTTCTGTTAAATTACTTTTACCATTCCATTACCTAGCCACTCATTTTTGTATAGTCCTCAACTTGTTCAAAGTCCCGCATTTCACTGTCCAGAATATACACACTTTTTAGGCAACCTCTACATCTTTCCATTACAGCATTGACTCTGACTTTGTTTTCCAACTAACTATAACAAGTGATCGTTGTACACTTATGAAGAACAGGATCTTCTGTAGCCTTCCACCTCAAAGGAGCAGGAGGGACCAAGAACTGGCAGCGTATCCAAATTCCCTCCAGTAATGGTTCTCCTTTCAATCAATGTAACAATACCTAAATTGATCGTGGATGCCAGTCATGGCAGACAAACTGCAACCAGTCACACTTCACATTTCTACCTTTCCTGACATCCCATTAAAAAAAACAAAACAGAAGCTTTGAAAGCTTCTTGTTGTGTAACACTGCAGACCGTAGCTTCAGGACATTTCAGGCAGTTCCCTTGTAGTCAGGAGTCCCAGCTAAGAGAAGTGACTTCAAAACAGGCCCCTAAGGCACCAAAAAAAGTCTGTGCTTCAGGGGCAAGAGAAATATGTTATCGATATACCTCTCAAAAGTGAGGCACAGAATGAATGAGTAGAATACTTAGCAGATGTTCACATAGGGCCAAGGATCATTATTCTGACCCTGTTTGCACTCCTACAGGAAAATCTAGCCATGCACTTTATTTGGTCATCCAGTTACTTTTGAAAATAAAAAAAAACCCCCAGGCATTAACAACTAACAACAATACAGCAATGTTGGTTTTATGTTTGAAGGTCCTCAAACTCTGCTAAGTAGTTCCGAATACTGGGTGATATGTTAAGAGAAGGCTGTCACAGGTTATGTTAACAACCACAAAAGCCTGCTTTTCAACATGATAACCAAACCGTAATACCAAGATCAACACCTAAATGAACCATTAGAAGTATCTTGTCTCTTATGCCAAGAATTTGCTCCTTAGTGAATCAAAAAGCACCCCTCCTTAAAAAAAAAAATCCCATCCCTATTTCGATAGCAAATTATGATTGCATTTACCTAAACAAAAATGAAAACTGTGAGATAATCTGAAATTATCAAGCTTTAAAAAAACCCCAAACAAACCAGGACCAGATAACTTAAGAGATTCTTTTTCTCTTGATGAGCTAGTAAGTATTACCACAAGACTCAATATCATCCTAAATAAAGCCTCGCAAGGGATTATGAACAGGTAATTACTGCTTTTAGATCATTCTGGTTTAGTATTTTATTCACACAGCAGTAGCTAAGATTACTTTCTGCTTTGGCTGTCTGGTCAATGAAATTCTAAGCATTTAAAGACCAACACTCAAGGTGTAGATTGCTTTGGTTCTTCTTAATCTCTCTTCCTTGACTGCTTTACACCTCTGTTAGACAGTAGTAAGTTCTTCACAGCAAAGAATAAATCTTACTGAGTATATAAAGTCACATATAAAATCATAGTCACATATAAGAAACGTTTAATCATCACAAAATATCATAATATTAAAAATAGTTTCTATTTCAACACAGCAAGGCAATTTTATCTGCTTCAATAACAGGCCTCACTTATCTTATGAACTGGCAAGTGCTAACAGAAGTGTTGTCTTAAGTATTCATTTAAAGTATATCTAAAACAAAAGTAAGGAGAAAGCAGATGTTCAAAATTAGAGGTGGCAAGGCCTAAGTACCATTGCTGTCATGCACACAAGCTGCAGATACACTTTTGTTCTGTTCCAGCTACAAAAAGAGTGAACACAGCTCAAAGTACCAATTCTTTTGAGATGTTCATATTATTTAGTGTATATTACCTTAGAAAACCGGACCACATTAGCCTGTTGTTCAGCCTCTAACTGCGACTTGGTGAGCTGCAACTGCTCCTTCAGTTTATCAATCTCCTCCTGCAGTTTGTCTGTCTTTGCTTTCCTCTTCTGCTCTGCTTAAAAGAAACACAGATCTAAAAAATGTTTGTTGTAACTTCTGGAAATGTGATACTTGCTGCAAACGTGTTTCTATAGCATTTTAGTAACATCTTCATGAAGTGTGACTCTCATAGATCATTTCCCCTCCCACTACCATAATTGTCTGAAGATGCTTTTAAATACATATGTTCTCTGGACTGATAACACTATCCCCAAAGGCTGAAAAATACTGATATTACTGACATGTGAAATAGTTTATGAAATACTTACAAGAAAAAGTATTATACAACCTAATTTCAAAGGAATCTAAGCAACACAGGCTCAAAAACAAAAGTATGAATGACAAAGTGAACTGAAATGACTCATTTCTGTTAGGTTTAATTTATTCTAACTTTGGTAAGGAGTCTATTTTGGAATATAACTCATTTTTTATCTGGAATGTGTCAGACGGATGTCACTGTAAAAAAACATGTTAAAATATGCAATAACTACACCAATCTTTAATCTTGAAACATTTCATCAATTACCAAAGATTTACTAGGATTTTCCCATCGCCTGGGAATCTGAGCACATCACGGAATATTATTTCAGAAATAACTGCATGGAGTATTTCCCTCATATAGATTAGTCCCTCAGACTAATTCCTCATATGATAATTAGTTCTACTGTTTTTGCAGTATCTTCCACCATCTTTCTATCATATGTAAAGTGCACAAGAGCTTCTTTCTTCTTCTAATATATTAATGCTTCCTCAGATGCTTAGTCAGACTCCTCTCACTGTTCCTGCTGTTTTACTTGCCCGATAAGCTACAGTTCAGACCTCGCTCGATTCTTCCCTGTTTCTTCTCCCAAATGTTCGCATGCCTAAAGAGAAACTGTGCTCTGAAATCTCTTACTGACTAAAGTATTCCGTGAGAATACTAGCAGTTTTTGTTAATTATTTTCCAGAGACAGAAACATGTCGTCCCATAAATATATTTTGTCAGTCAGTGTTCCTTGCATTCACACAAATTCACACAAAATCATTCTTCCCAGTTACACAGAATCATGGACTGCACACTCTCACTATATTTACACTTTTCTATACTATTTATCTCACTTTTTTTATAACATTGAAGTACATACCAATCTGAGATTCCTCTGGATGACGCCTTTGCATGTGACTTTGTAAAAAGGAATAGTTCATAAAAGCCTTTTCACAAAACTGACACTACAAAAAACAGATACAAATATTTTTGTTATTATTAGGAATATCTGTTTGTTAAGTATAGCGGTTAAGGTTTTTAACAGGTTATTACATTTTGGCCATATGTCAAAAGCAGGCAACGTGAATGAGTTCCATTTCACAGTAATAATGACTAAAAGTCTCTCGGTACCAGATTTCTGTACAGTTATTAATATATTTGTGTTATGTAATGTCTCTCAGTGATGGTCACGGACAAGAATTGCATTGTGCTAGGCACTGTACACACTGAACAAAAAAGACTCTGGCCAAGTAAGTTGAAATTCAGATACAAACAATAGATAATTATAAATAGGCAGAGAAGTATAAGGAAATACTGATACAACACTATTCAGCAAAACACACACTGACTCCAGCCAACCAGCAGCTAAGGTATTCTAAGACTCTTGTATCACAGCAAAAGACAGGACCATACAGTGAGGAGAAAAAGCAAAGAAGATGAGTTTGACTATACATAAGTGGGTTTAAAGATGACAATACTAGAAAGACCAGAGATATGTAAAAATGTTAGACATTTTAACCAAAATAAGGTAACAACATACAATTTTGCAAGGAAAGGTACATATGTATATTAAGTACCTTTCTGAGGCAGGAGCTGTTTAAAATATTTCTCCTATAATTTGGATCCTACCAATTTTAAAAGATTTTTTTTATACACATTTCACTAATGTTCAGAATATTAAGGTCAGAAGCTACATCTACAGATTTTGCAACATACTGATAAGACTGTGAATCAAAGTGCCTAATTGCTTTAGGTAGGGTTGCTTGTTATCTCTTTCTTCTTTTTTAGCAAACCACAAATACTCATCCGAGTGTTTTTTCCTCATCAGTGAGATATGACTGTGAGAGATTGACTTAACAGATTCAAGACCTTGTCATCATAATCAAATTCCCAGATTTCATCTAATATTTAAAACACTGCCACTGATATTCAGGTAGGCATATTAAATATAAATACATTTCAGCAAACACTGAAGCCATGAATTATTAAGACAAATTTTGTTGGACAAATGTGAAAAGCACTAACATAAAACCAAAGTAAAGAGATATAGCATGGCAGCAAAGCACTGCTGCCAACCAAGAGGGAGCTCACAGTGTAACAGATTGCACACGATTTACAGAATGAAATTGGCTGTGAAATAATGTTATCCATTCAAGCACAAACTTCCTGTCAGTTTGACTTGCTGGTAGTGAAAGAAAGCTCTTACCGCAGGAGACAGCATTAGCACAGGGAATATTTAGGTTCTGAATTATGTAACACCGTGTTAAAAAAAATGTGTGTTTTATGCATATTCTGCATGTGCATATAAGATTTCAGTACAAAGTATCAAAAAGTGAAAAATTATTATTTAAAATTAAATTCGTATTACTCAGACGAAGGCATTGATGAATGAGTCTTAAATTTATGACTTGTAAATACCAGTACTATTTTATAGTAGTATTTCAAGGTTGAACGTATATTGGTGGTGGATTAAAGGCATTAAATCTGAATTCTAAAGCATGGTTTCATTAGATATAAAGTGTGCCTCCACTCAAACAGGCAAATAACTATTTACAGCCTTGTTTGCTAACAGCCAAGACTTTAGGGACTGAAACCTGAACTACCCTCTCAGAAACACCAGCAAAACCCTTATTAGCTGGCACTGCAGATCAGCAGAGTTGATGGCACAGATAAATAATAGACAGTTGTTGTTTACTGATCACACTGCTGCCCAGCATTTACAAACCCTAGGAAGAGCTTAATTTATCTCTGGCATTCACACTCAGAATCCTGAAACCACTGAAGGAACTGTTCAACACCACTCCCTGAACTCACTTTCCCAGGTGAGCCTAAGGAACTTGCAGAGACAAGAATTTACTAACACAGAGACAAAAAGGACAGAGAGCAGACATTTACTTTATATGAAATTAAACTAAAATGGGAAATAGCTTTCCATCTCTGCTTTAGTGTAAATGCCACTGAACAGAAGATTAACGATGAGCCAAGATCACTACCATGTTCCTCAGCTTTCACCAAGACAGTCATATCCTACAAATATTTCAGGAAAACTTGGTAATATTTAACTGGCAATCACAGTAGGAGAATTAGGTAAGTTTCCAAACAAAATTATTCATGCAATCAGTTTTCTTTTGCAATGCAGGACAGACAAACCGCTCTGTAAGTTACATAAAGATTTTTTAAAATGATACAACACCAGCAGCTTGTCCTTCGGACTGATACATTGAGACAAAGTTCCCATGAAGTCTACCATATGTATCACTCTACTCTTGGGGCATACGGTATCTTTTCCCTTACAGAAACACTCAAGCCAACTTAGCGGATGTCTTAAGAAATTAATCTTTGCCAGCCTGCTGAAATTAGTATTATATTGTGGGATAAGACTGTACATACTAAAGGAAAACTTTTATTGCTTCTGTAGTGCAACTACTCCATGATTAAGGAGAATTTCAACAATCAAGACTGCTAGTAACCCAGTAATTTTTTAAAAAAGGTAGAAAACTACAACTTTAAACGTATAGACAGAAAGAACTACCCTGAAATCATGTCAAGTCTGCGTCCAATGTACTCTCTCGACTTCAGACTACATTTTAAGCTGCACTCTGCATTCCTGAAACCTGCTGAAAAATGCTGAAGCCAAAAAAATATTTAAATCCAACTATTACACCCAGAACACAAAAACCCTTCCCAAAAAAACAGAGTGCAATGACACAGAGAGTCAGAACAGCACTGCGCTAAGGTTCTTAGGGAAGATCTTTAAGGAACAGATTGTCACGGAGTTAGGGATGAGCTGTCTCACTGGTGCTCTTCACCATCATGCTTGAGTCACTTCTGAGTCACATACAAGCAGAAACTTTGTGTCTGGAGAACATTACTGCAGGAAAGTGATAACTCACAGACAGGTAGGTTACTGCTTAGCACCAGTTGTGATGGACTTGCCCTGTGACCACGTAGTTGATACACAAGGAAAGACAGCAACAGAAAGCAGTTACATGTTTATCACAGGTTTTGTATGTGTGTGTATCTGACACTTCAGATGCATCAAGAGCAAATCCAAGAACATAAAGCACTTGTTAGTAAAAAGAAGATCTGTTAAAGTGATGTAGCACTCTCCCAAATGTCTCTGATAACAGAGAAACATCTGTAAAAGACAGATATTTAGCAAAGTACCTGCAAGCAATGCACTCCCTTTTTGTAAGGTCACCGATACCTGCAGCTCCAGCCTTTCACCCAGCAAGCGACTGCATCCTAGCAGAGTGGGGTTGCTCTGCCGCCTGCCCTTGGTGGTCTCAGACCCAGCAAAGTGTGGGCAACTGGGCCACCAGGACCTCTCCTCTCACCTGGTGATAGCTGGCTCGGGCCTCCAGCATCATCTGCTGGGTACTGATCATCTTCTTCCTTCGGCGGCACTCCTCCTTGAGCCCCTTGATCTCCTGCAAGCGCTGAGCCACCTCCTTGCCCAGCTGGTCGCGCTGGGCCTGGGCTGTCCGCAGGGCCTCCTCCAGGTTGCCGAGCTGGGCGCTGAGGTACTCCTGCGAGTGCAGCAGGTACTCGGTGCAGAGCTGGGCCAGTCGCAGCAGCTTCAGCAGCAGCGGGTCGGCGGGGCCCTGGCAGTGGGGGCAGCACTCCCGCTCAGCGCTGCAGAAGGTGACGTGCTCCAGGTGCTCCTGCAAGGCCGCCACGTCCCCC